TGTCTTGTCTGGATTTTAAAATCTTGTACTTTTAGCCCAGTAAATTGGTACTTTGTATTTTTTGCTGAAAGTTTCTATAAAACCCAGTAATGATTTGTTTTATCTTTGAGAGATAGGTAATACATGATACAGTAATCTATCCTCACCTCAATTCCTGTGGCTGAACTCAGAAAGGCTAGGCTTACATTTAATACTCTGAGCTTATCAGACATATCTGCCCAAGACCAAATGATAAATGGGAGATGCTGACAATTAGACTAAAGTGGTCAAGATTTTGCTTAATTATCCTAAGAAGATAAATATATGTTAATGGTTGAAAATCTGGTCTAATTTTCTGAGGACACATATTGATGAATTAGTTTATGCATGTATTTCGATCCGGGTTAGTCAAGAAAAGCTTCCTATTTATTTTTGGTTTCTTCGCTCAAATAGCGAATTAGGCATATATATTGAAGGCATATTATTATTATTAATGGCTTTATTCAATATTATATCTTGGTACAATGTAGAATTCTCAGCACAGGGTATTTCAACAAGTTTCTTTTACAAAACACAAAAACGAAAAAGAAAGGAAAAAGGGTTAAAAAAGTCGGAAAAACTGCAAAATATATCAGTATTAGACTTGAGTGACATTACAACCCAATACAACCCACATTGTACGAGTATTCCATGTACCTAAATAAATGGTTTCTCTGGTTGTCAGAAGGGGCATCGGCCTCGTAACTTCCGAAGGAACTCGGCTTTCATCATGAGGCATCATAGTTCTTCTAAATGAAGACCTTCTGATTTCCAAGGAAGAGTTTAAAAGGTTTGAATAATTTTTTCTGGCTAGCGGTTTTTTAGCGAGTTAGTTTTCTACGGGATGGGGTTGCTAACCTCATGGCCAACCCTCCTCCTTTATCCGGGCTTGGGACCGGCAGTAGCCCCTGGAGGGACTCCAGGCAGAGTTAATAGGTAGACTACAGTATCTCATAGATAATCATATTTTCAGATGATGTTTAAGAACATCAATGATATTTTATCAGGACATCATTAGTAGAATTACCTGATCATCTTCGTCCAAATCTCATCATTATAATATACAGTAAGTTATAGTAAATCGGTAATCGATATCTATTTGTGAGATAAATGTGTGACTACCTTGTGAATCACTATTGGTCTTTGCTATTATCTAAAGTTGTTAATTATGTTTTTATAACAGAATTTGGTTTGTTGTGTGTGATCATTTCAGGTCAATGGAATATCACTTTGTATGCATATATGAAAATGGTATTATATCTGGTCATTACACAAGTGATGCAGTAATATTGATCAATAATTACTTTTTGTAAAACCTGTTGATTTCTCTTTACTTTATTAGATTTTTGTCCATCCTGGACAGTGAGCATCAACTGTTTTAATTCCAGTGGGTCTAATATTCAGATCATTCTAGGCAAATTATCTGAGCAAGTTTCCTTAGTGAGTTAGATTTATAGTATATGGAATAATTAGAAGTTGGATTAGAATCTAAGTTTTGAACCCAGTCAGAGATCCGAGGAGGCTCCACTCAGTGAAATGATCAAAAATATATCGGTGAATATATATAACATTCAATACTGATGTTGAAATCTTGTGTTTTTAACCGGAGATTAATGCCATTTTTTCGTACCGCTCATGTCAGATATCTCTTCTGTCTGTTCGATAGCCAGTCACCTCCACAGAATATTGATTATGTTATTTGTTGCCACTATTATGTCATTTCTTGTTGATCTTCTTTCGGGTTAACTCACGTCATTCGAGTAGGAAAGTAGAAAGAGTTTGGTGTCATCATCGCCGAATTCTGTCAGATCACCTTAAAATAACCTTATATGATGTAGCACGCGCTGGGGCAGTACTACTGACGGAAGGACGTTAAGAACTCATTTTGCTTCCTATAATCATGTTTAAGGACCTTAATCTGTTAATCAAGTTATTCACTTGACATTTCCTCATTCCTTTGAGACAAGCACTTGATCTTTAGAGATGGTGTTGTATTTCTAGGGTCTTTTTGGGTTCCCAAACAGAATTATAAATATCGACAAACACTGTATTAGAAAATTTTGATTAAGTTACAACTGTGAAGAATTCTCGTTACCTAACTTAATTTGTCGAGAAAAGTTACATTTTATGGTATACCATTTAAAAATAAATAGCAGCCTATCAGATAAGGAATCTAATTTGTCTGACTGGAGTTTCAAGATAAAATATCATTGTGAATATATGGATGTTATTCAGTTCATCTTTTCTATAATGCCATTATTGCAATCGAACTCAGAAAGGATGCTCTTAAACCTAAATCCCTTTAAATAATATTATCCAAAGTATTTATAAAAAACAAGTGAAAAATTCACAGAAGTTCAATGCTAGTGAATTCCTATTTTAGGAAAGACTATTCTATATAAGCGATATCCGTCTACCAATCAAAGAACGGGTTTACTGCACAGCATTTCGTTCCGTCCTATTTTATGGCAGTGAAACATGGCCGGTAAGAGTAGAGGATATTCGTAGGTTACTAGTACTTGATCATAGGTGCCTTCGAAATATTGCTCGTATATCCTCGGACCATCGAGTAAGTAACGCAGTTGTTAGGAAACGGGCACTAGGTAAGGATGGCAAATCAATTGATGACGTAGTGAAACTTCATCAGTTGAGATGGCTGGGACACTTGTTACGTATGCCCAACGACCGACTGCCTCGACGTGCGATGTTCAGTGGTATAGGAGTAGGTTGGAAGAAAGCTAGGGGCGGCCAGACCAAAACATGGCACAAGTCCATGAAGTCACTGACAAGTGGACTGAGTCATGTTGGTAGGTGTGGACTACCTGGTTGGGGACCGCGAGATGACAGCAATCGATGGTTAGAGACCCTGAATGACATGGCTCAAAATCGTTTACAATGGCTCAGGTGCATCCACTCTTTGTGTTCTCCCAAATTCTAATCTTCTGAATTATTCACGTCCCTTTCTTTTAACTCTTTCTAAATTTATTTCACTGGATAATACTCCTTGAATAACATCTTCAAACCCAAATGTTTCCGATTACTGCTTAAACTCTTACTACCTCTACCAATAAGGGATTTGAATCGACAACTGCATCTCTCTGTTAATGTGGTATGGCAACTTAAACTGATGTACGTACGTACGAAGTTCTACGTTATTACTGACTGACTGATAATAAGTATCTGTATAAACAAACACAAATGTAAGTCCAGCGATGAATCAAATAAACAAACAGTTACAAAGTCGAAAATATCAAGTTATTTTAAGTTTTAGTACCAGTCACATCCCTGGTTCACGTTATGACAGTTTTCAAATTTATTGACCTAGTTAAAATACTATCAAACTATATTATTTCATCTGGTGATAAAACTTCGCGAATCGACAAGTCATACTGTTAAACATCATATAAGCAAGAACGAATTTAAACCTCGGTAACAAATTATTGATGACTATTTCATTACTTCAGAGTAACCGGTGCCATATTTTTTAGTCCTCTGTTATGTTCAAATTTTGTCGTTGGATTTCTAATAAGATCCATAGTTTAATCGACTGGACATCGAGATACTGTAAGTGATCAGTCCATGTATAGACATCTCAACCCTTCAGGAGGTCAGTTAAATCTTGGTTGGGTAAGTAACAATGTCTCTGACTTTGGTTCCGGTTGTCGTCAATAAGGACCCCTCAGGATCGAAAGGGTAGGGACCCTATAGAGATTGCAATCACTGATTTCGAGCGTTAACTAACTAGGATAAACGAATGTCTAGAGCACCTTGACAGTTAATCTCAATCATGTGGCACTAAATTAATCATAGAGAAGTGTTAAAATACCACAGATCAATCTATACTTTTGAACATGTAAAGAATTAGTGTTAATCATTTGTTAGTTGAATTTTTCATGACACCATTCGTTTACGAGAGATAATTCGCTTTATTTAAATGAATAAAGCTCTTTTCACACTTGCATAGTCTAGCAATAATCTCATTTAGTTTAACGATAATTTTCAATATCTCTCCAATAGTCCATAGGTTTCAATCGATTTTAACAATCCGCCTAATTATAAGATAATTTTCTATATGTATTTTATACAGCCTTTACTATCAGTTCATCTCAAAATATGTAATGTGCTTATAAGATCTTGTTTTGTTAACTTGTTGAAATTTCCAATGGGACATTTTTATTATTTAGAAAGATAGTTGTATATTCTCAAATGTATAGGTTGATTTCCATAGTTATCATAAGGTTAACTTAGTGGACCTTCCAGCCTTCGAAAACAAAGACAGTATATTCCACGTTTTCTCTATGTAGTACCTATTCAGACAATACTATTTAGCTCCCTGATTAGAACTGTCAAAATCGATAGTATTTTTTAAACTCAAATGACTGTATAAACATGAGATTGGGTAATATGAACATCTCAATACTACAGGAAATAAATCGGTATGATGTTCTCAAACGGCTATATCTTGAATTGTAGCACCGAATGGTGAGGATTTTAGATTCTTTGGGTAATATTAGTTATTTTAGGTAAGAAGATACACCTAGCTAGAGTTCCATCTACCCCTGAACCTAATTTAAAGTTTTATTCTAGCTAGTTTGATTCACTTTCTGTTAACTACTGATTTTCTGGACAATACCGTTGTAATTATACTTCACTTTCTTATTTTCCCGGTTTTACCAGTCTTTGATGGTTAAACCCGGCGTTTTGTTTTACGTACTTTTAAATAATCTATTTTTATTACAATTTTTCATGTGAAGTGTTCAGCAAGAATTTTGATTTTGCAAAAAATTCTGATTTGTTGTTGTTTTCGGGACATAACCCTTCTCTTTGGGAATGATCGTATTATTAGAAATTTATGAATACAAAATTTCTATCTAGCAATTTAGTGAGTTACGATCTGCTGTCAGTCAACTTCAAAAGATACCGCCTAAAAGTTTTGAAAACCATTTCAGCTTACTAATAAGTAGTAAAAAAAGAAATCGAATGCTCCAAATATGGTACTTTTCAAATAAATGTATGGAAAAAGAATGATAACAAAGACATTATTTAATTTGTTATTATAGAGACTAATTTTGGTAGAACCATAATAATCAATGATATCTACCGAAACGGAATTTGATGATTGATGATTCGGGAAAACATTCAAATCATACATTTTTAATTAGCTAACTTTTCAACAATTGTCTGTAAATTACCATGTTCTTTTATGACTAATTCAACTAAGTCACTAGTTTTCTGTTTAAAACCCATTTCACGAAGTGCATCAATTGTTTTATGAATATCATCAGAATCATTTGTAGCAGTAGATGATGATGTTCTAGGATCAGATAAGTCTGATTGTTCATCATCTTCACCAGTAGAATCTTCTGCAGTAACATCTGAAGCGACAATTTTAACTGCTTGTAATACTGGACATGGAAATTCTGCATTATCTCTAGTAATCAACATTGGATGTTCTGAGTGATTGTTATTTTTAAAACAATCAGGGCATAATACAACTCTAGGACATATAACGCATGTGAATCGATCACCACACCAATTATTTTTATTACATATGTTACATATTAATTCAATGATAACAGGTAATTCAGGTTCTGTGTAATCAATCTCTTTATTAAATACAGCTCTTGATGCACGTTCACGAAAATCACTTGGTAAATGCTCTGGTCTACATCCACCATAAAATGAAGGTAATTTTGTTTCATTTAAATGAAGTACTGGGGCAGCAAATAATAAAGGTGTATTATCTTCACGATCATATATCATTCGTACAATTGCTTCTCTCAGATTAGATGAATTAGACACTGTACAATATTCAGTTCCATCTGTGAAAGTAAATTTTTTACAAAAAAGCAATCATACAAGAATAATGAAAGGTGGAGTTTCCAACTAGTAATTGTTATTAAAAATGAGTACATTGATGTACAAACCAAATGATTCTGTAATAAGTAATGATATCTAATTACTATAAACATAATTACTGATAAAAAAATGTTTATTGATCAAGGATGGTAGTTTAGTTGGTATATTGGATGACAATTGTGTTTTCTTATTTAAACATACTTATTAAAGCACACTTTTTTATAATGAGCTTCAAAACTTTTCATTTTTAAGATATATCAATTGTTCTTTTGATTGTTGAATTCATGAGTCGATATAAGCTAAACCACCATTGAGGACCTGGAAGCATTGGATGGCCGTTTTGTCCTAGTATGGGACTCTCTATCAGTGCACATTCATGATCCAACATGCGGGACTCTAACCCAGGACCTTCGGTCCCATTCATTTCACATGTCATTTTGGAAGTTTCTTTCCAAATAGTATTGATGCATTTGCATGTCAACTTCAACCAGTCCAAATTCATACCATTTCCTAGACAGTACACGATTAGTACATTCTTTCATTCACAATTAGGTAGACAACATTAAAAACCAATTTCTTGTCACAATATCAATAGATATATTTCATTCATTTCTAGTTGTTTGATCTGGTTGATGTCTTTTTAGCAAGATTTTTTCTACGGGATGGGGTTGCCGACCTCGTGGCCAACCCTTCTTCTTTACCAGGGCTTGGAACCGGCAGTAAATCTAGAAGGGCTTCAGGCGTCAAGACAGTCCTACTGTACGGAGCTGAAACTTGGAGAACTACTACAACTGTCATCAAGAAGGTACAAGTATTTATAAACAGTTGTCTACGCAAGATACTCAACATCCATTGGCCGGATATCATCAGCAACAGCCTTCTATGGGAGAGAGCAAACCAACTTCCAGCCAAAGAAGAAATTAGGAAAAGACGATTGAAATGGACTGGACATACATTACGCAAATCATCAAACTGCATCACGAGGCAAGCCCTAACTTGGAATCCTGAAGGGAAGCGGAAAGAAGGAAGGCCAAAGAACACATTACTTCGGAAAACAGAAGCGGATATGAAAAGTATGAACAACAACTGGAGAGAACTAGAAAGGTTTACCCAGGACAAGGTTATCTGGCGACTACTAGTGGGCGGCCTATACTCCTCCACGAGGAGTAACGGGCGTAAGTAAGTAAGTAATCCATTTCTATTAGTTACTTGAATCTTCCTACTGATCCTTAGGACTGGTACTGGGTTGGGATCTAACGTATGGAATCGAGGATTCCCACTTCTGAGGAGTCACATAGTAGAATGAAAAGGCCGTTTAGTGCTTCCAGGTTTTGAGTGGTGTTCTAACACTGGTCAGCTCGTGATCCAAATGGAATTCAACAATTTCCAAAACCAAATATTGGAAATGTAAAGGAATCATTTTAATGTGATTCTTTGCAAGCTGATAAAACAACGTATACTTAATACACAGGACCTACTAGTCTCGCGCGCAAGCGCTTAACCTCTAGAACACTGAGCCAGCATCCAACTGTGTTAATGTGTAACTTCAATCAACCCACGAAATTGAGCGACACATCCACCATTGTCTTCAGCGAGTTACTGTTTCACAACAGACACGGTTGAATCTCGCGAGGCGGGATCGTGGATACTCACTACTGAAGAGTCCCACAATAGGACGAAACGGCCGTCCAGTGCTTCCAGGTTTTACATGGTGGTCTAGCTTCAATTGTCTCATGATCTCAACTATTAAATTAATATAATATCCACAAAATACCCCTTCTGATATGTTTATTAGTTAATTTTTAGAAAAAAAAGCATACTTCCCTCTCTAGCTTAAATTTTTAAAAATTATTCAAGAGGAATGGTCAGAATAGCCCATTTTAATTAAGTTATTGTTAGTAAAACTTGGAGAACCCTATTAAAACATTCAGTGCTTCGAATTTCCTTTTAAGCTCTCCAATACAATCTTTTAATTAACTCATAGACTGAAACTCATTGAACGATAATAGTGGTTTCCGAAAAGATAATTACCAACGAAAGATTGATCTAAGTCAGCTTAACCAATTCATTTACCTAAAAGTAGTTGGAAATGGAAAAACAATGTATGGATTGTAGCAATTCAAAAGGTGTACATGATTGACCTATGCTGTAAGAGTCAGTTAACCTGGCTTAAGATATCGGTTTCAAGGTCACTGGACACATTACTATTAACTTTTAAATTGCTTTATCGTCTAGAAAAACAATATTATGCAAACCTGAATACAAAATGACAGTTCAAGAGTGTTAATGCAAATGATCAAAGTATGAAATGTAAAAGCAAACTAAGTAAGTAGTTTGTATCTAATGGAATAGATCTATCTATAGACATAAATATAACAGTATTGTAATCGTGTTTCATAATTCCAAACAAACTTAATTAACTTTCATTTTGACTTTTATTGCTACTAATGAACAAATAAGTGTGTTGATGTAAAGCAAAATCTTATTGTCCGTTGAATGCAAAGAATATGAAGTGAGAGAATAACAATTTCTCATCAATGTTCATCAATGAATCGATTACCAGATTAGCTAGTAATTTACTATTCAATAAATAAATAATTTTCATACTTAAAAATGAATAAATAATTGCTTGACAGTTGTTTTTATATTTCACTGTTATGAGTGAATATATGCTCAGGTCCCAATTATATTTTAGTTGAAATGTTTGATGTCAATAGAACTTGAAGCTTGTAAATGGATTTATATTTGAACTTAATAAAAATCTTTCTAATAATTTGACTGCTGGTTGCAAAAATTTTGTTAGAATTCAATGAAATAGAAGATTCCCCACTTATTATATTAATTAAACCGATTTTTTGAGAGTTCGATTTCCAATCAATGTGTCAATATAACTGAAACTACAAATGTATTCTTTATGAAATAAACTTGAATATGATACTCATAAATATTTCCATAAACACATTGAACAGGAAGCAAATTTAGAATGATAATGAAAAATATCAACTGATTAAGAAATTAACTAGAAGAAATATCCATTATAAGCAAATTCCACATGACGATTAATTAGCTTATTAGAATAAATAAGAAAGTAAACTGATCAATTTCACTTATTTACTTAGGGATGAAAGATTCCAAATATGAATACTGTTTTAGTGTGTTCACCTTACTTGACATCAAAAATAACACTTAGACACATATTGAAAGTTTTATCTAATTATACTCAAGTATACTTTAAATCAATAACATTACATTGTAGTCATTTCCCAAATTACTTGACACATTTTCACAAACTTATCGATTAAAAACGTAGACTTAAATAATCTCATCTCTAGATATTCATTCACATTTTATTACATCATTTATTTTATTCATGTTACTTATATGTTACATATACTTAGACGAGTGATTTCCATTGATATCATTTGACAGTATCATTCATACAAGTTGTAGTATACAACGCTTAAACAAAAAGTGAATGCTAGTCGTAATAGTCATGTGAATAGAAAATAGCAAACAAGTGAGCAAACAATACTTTCGTTTGTTAATACAAACAAACGAAACTAAACAAAACCCAAACACAATACCAAACATTGATAATAAAGAGATGAGAGAAAACCATGAAATACTCATTGAATATAGAATGTTTCACAATTTTCACTTATCATCAACGATCATTAATCGTATAGAGTATTCTCATTTTATCGCCTATTGTTCTGTGATATCTACAATGAAAATATAATGCTTGATTGGTGACAGTTTCCAATCCTATATACTACTGGTTAATTGAGAGAGGGTGTATATATGTGTATGATATTTGGTGTTTCATTCAATTGGTCTCTTTCACAATTTTAAGCAAATTATTATTATTATTTGCAGAATGAAACGAATTCATTGTGTTTTGTTGCTTTCTCGTCAGCTATAACTAAGCTAACTGTTTCCATTTCATTATTATATTGTTAAAAATGAAATATCAATCAATCATTAATAATTTGTGTATAATGCGAAAGAACGTAAGAATTAAAGTTTTAAAACGGGGTCCATTGATAATGGCTTAAGGTAATAAGTTCTAAGATATTAAGATATATTTTATTTGTTAATTAAACAAAACGTTTTTTTTAAGTTTAGAAAGGAAAAGTGGAGATGTGAGACAAACGCACTGAACTATGATAACATTTGATTGAAAAGAAAGGGGTTGAAATTTTACTAAGACAGATGAAGGTTAACTACTGACTCTTTTTGAATCAGTAAGTCAGCTACAACGTAGGACCAGGCATATATATATGCATCGGTTCAAGTTGCAAGATGAACACCGGATTAATTGAAGTAGTTAATTCAATGGTTGTAATATAGAAAAAAAAGATTGCATATAAGGATATAGTACAGGAAGAAGGAATCGGTTCGTAGAAAGAAAGATATGAAGCGATTTTAATCTCATGGTTTAAGAGAAAACAGAGGGTGTATACACCTACACCATTGTGCTCGATTCTGAGCTACGTCACCCAGTCTCCAACCATTGGTTACGATAGTCACGCAGACCCTAACCAACTAGTCTGCATCTACTAACATGGCTCAAACTAGAAGTTAGTGACTTTAAGCACTTATGCCATGTTTTGGTTCCTGGCTTTTGCTAATTTTAATAGCGTGGAATTGGGCTATTTATTGATAACTTTAAATGAATTCGTAGAATCCACATTATGCTCCATATCGAATTAGTGACATGTTATTGAAACGAATGAAATACAATGAATTCATCATATTCTACAAATGTTGATAATCTTGCTTTGTTTATATTAGGCCTTACTGAGTAATAGGGGTGTAGTGATTGATTTTAATGTTGGCCAGGTTAATTATGGAATAGAATGACAGATGTTATTGATTAGTATTCCATACCTAAGTGATGAATTGTTTTGCTTACCGCCCCTGTGTGAAAAGTTACTTTGGTGGAAAGATACATAAAGTACATAAACCCATTTTATGTACAAAGTGTGTTCATGAAATATGCAAAACTTTATTTCAAATTCATGTTAATAATTGGTTAATATACTCAAGTCATGCGTTCTGATTTACTGGTTTTCAACTTATGTTTCACTGTAAATTTTGAGTTGTACGTAAACATTGCTGATAGACTAAGCAATATGTAAATTAAATTTCGTGAAGTACGTACTCTAGAGGAGTAGTTTTTTTATTTTCGTTTATTTGACAACTTGATTGATTAAAAATTTCTCATTACATCATTATGTTATATGTGTTCTGTAGCTTAGCAATGAATAACTTTCGAATTTAGAGCTTACGGAACTCGGTTAAAGTTTCTGTGAAAGTATTGACCCTAGTATTAAGGTTCAACCAACTGATGAGTTTTAAACAAGATGAAGTATAATCAGTCTGTTTTTTGATAGATACGACCTAGTGAAATTAGTCATTGCTTCTCATTGTCATGTCTACTAAATCTTGAAGGCAGGTTTGATATTCATTTAATGCCCGATAGTTATTCCTTTGGGTATTGGAACATATATTCTATACAATTTCATTGAAGTTCAGTGGCTTTTATGTTTAGACTTGTTTATAAATCAGACTGAGCAAAAGTTTAACTGGATATCAGTCAGTATATTAATATTCAATTGAAAACCTCAGACAGTGGAGATCCACAAAAAATATGATTTAATAGATGATCAGTGTTTAACACCTTTGCTGGAGTAACTCCTTCAATTATTTGTCGTCATCAATTAAGAACATTGTTAAATAGTGAGAGATTATAAAGACCGTCGGTTTCGCGCGAACGCCTAACCTCCATATCAGTGAACCGGTATCCAAATATATTAATGTATACCTTCAATCAATGATATTTCGCGACCATTTTACATTATCTCCTATGGGTAACGGCCATCCAGTGCTTCTAGATTTTCAATGATGGTCTAACACTAACCGGTTCATGATCTCAATTAAAACACAAAATGCTTAAACTATTGTTGAAGTTATATTTCTTGGACCCAAATTCAACAGCTTAATGTGTTACGACAAGTATACCTACTGTCAAATCACTATACTAGGATCTGTTGAATAAACGTTTTCAAATTATATTAATGAATCTTTCAGTAGGATTAAGTGTTTCCATTATTCCGGTATTATTCTAATAGTCGTATTATTATCTTAGGTTCTATTTGCATTAGAGTTTTTTTCAACTTCTTTATAAAGCCGCTAAAGATAGCGATGATAACCAGATAAAGCTTGATTTAATAGAATACTTAGAAATACGTCATAACGTTGTTATAAGAATGTAAATAAATAAATCAGTTTTACAATCAGTCAATAAAAATCATGATAGCATGCGTTAAACAACAAGGTATAAATATGAGTAAATTGAAGACTGATTCTATTATTGACTAAAACAGGCATCTTACTATTTACATGGAATGTAATAAACATTACAGAAGGATCAACATTAGCTCTTATTTTAAACTCTAATGATAATACTTCAAGAAACCCATTTGAATAGTCCAGAAGACTCTATCCAGGGAGTGGTTAATTAAGCTTTAGAGAACTAATACTATCAACAAATGCTGTATAACAATTCCCTATATAATTATTTAGTGTTTGAGTAATTCTGATATGGCTAGTGAAATCTTATGCTACTCATAATAGAGATGATCTCAAAGAGTATGTTTTGTAGAATTCTGGTTTATTATACCAGCCACCACCATCTTGGTTTTCATTTATACTGACTATATCGTTACATAAAATAATCTATCCATCATCTTGACCTGTATCAGACTGTCTACTCAATAAATTTATTTATATGTTGTTCTCAGAGGTCAGAAATATGCAGGAAGGTTACTAGTTTTCTTTTTGAAGAAAGATAAATAATATAGAGGTCGGGGGAATATGTAGAATATATTCCTTTCCTATGCTGTGCTTATAATGTCACATCATCACAACGACTAATAACTGCTGCTTTTATGTGTGTCTGATTTAGTAAGTTGATTGGAATATTGTAATAAATAAGATTACTTTGGTAGTGAACATCGATGGACATTGGACTGATTGACACCAAGTAATCAATATAACATAAATTCAGGACAACATATTTCAATTTAGTTTAGTTTGAAAGAGAGTCTCTATAACCTGGAAGTACATACCCAGGCAAGTGTAAATTTTATTTGGAAATGTATTTGAAAGTTTCATACAACCAGATTACCTGATAAGATTAAATAAAGCAAGGATAACAAGGTATACATAATAAAATGGTTTCAGTTTATTTCATAGCTTTTCACTAGCTGCAAACAGGCTAAAATTATGAGCAGTAATATAGTTGTAAACACAGGTTTAACTTGCCAGAAGTGTCTTATAGTAATTGGCTGTGAAAAACGGGGTAAAATTGATATAGGTTGTTTGTTGCTTTTCTGAAGCTCCAATGATTTTAATACAGAATATCAAAAATTTGCTAAATCATTCGAAGGTCGATCTAATAGCCTTATGATGTCACATACAATTACACTTATAAGTTTATATGTAGCAGGTTTATAGAGAAAAGAAAGAGAGGGGTTACCATTAGGTTTTCTTAACACGTTTCTAAAAGCCTATGTCTGAAAGGCAGTAAAATCTTCACAATTCTAGTCGTTGAACACCTGACGGTTAGCGAACATAAATTGAATATCAATCATGGATTCAAATTAGTGAACAAACTATCAACATACCTTTTACTTCGTTTTGTAGAAGTAGTAACTAACAAGTGCTTCCAACCTAACTTTTATGAACAGAAGGAAAGCATGATAACCCTTTCTTTATCATGTTGACTATGATTATAATCAAATAACCCCTTTACAAACATTTTTTTTCTAACTTTTAATTCATTTTATGTTATTGATGCTTATCTATTATTTCAATTTCTACACAAGTTTGTATTATTTAATCGAGTAATCACTTGTTACTTTTATTATCGTTACATAATTCTTTTTTCTTAGATTTTGTTATCAGCAACTATGACATTATTCTTTCTATTTTATATTTATATTTTTCCAGCATATAAATACGTATCTATGTTAACTATATTTATTGATGTATCTTGTGTCATATTCGTCGTATTGTGATTTTTTTAGTTCCGTTTTAAACATTCATCTATACTTCATTGAATGAAGTATGTTAAACATTTGTTTATAATTAAACTGTTCCTCGTAATTTCGTAGTGTTTACAGGTGGTGAAAGGCCACGACGCATTGATAATAGTCGTCTGTATGAAAGACAATAGAGTATTTAATTCTAGAGTAAATGTTTCTGTTGATACGGCAAAACTAAAATCAGCTCATTTATCATTTAATACTTTTACCAATATTTTATCCAGTATTTACTCGTTTGTATCTTTTTTCAATCTCTTCAAGTTACTTTATGAAGTCAGTCTAAATTCAATGAAATCGATGTAAGGTGATTTGAAGTGGTCGTCAAGAAATGTTTTGTTTTTGATCTAGGCTATGCGATACTTGGCACTTATCAGAAATGCATACCTCAAATCTTGAAGGAAACGGTACTTTCTGTAGGATCCGAATGAAAGTCATCATTTGAGATGTTACAACTGAGCTCTTTGTGTTGCAATTGACCTGTTAAAGAACTGAGATAATCATAGTTGACAGATCATTGGGTAATGACCAAACTCATATTTATCTAGTTCTTAATAATGCCTACCTACAATCCATATAAGCTTAAACACATTTTTACAAATCAATGTGAACTGATTCAAACGATATAATATACAATAATATATAAACTTGATTCAAATGATTAATAATGCTAATAATAAATTATTTACAATCCCCTTCACTCTTATCTTTCTCCTTGTATAGCTTCTGGTAGAACGAGAGATAATTACATTAAAACCCATTCACGCAAGCAAAAGTATAAAATTTCTATAATACCTTACCTAGCAAATATACTCTGTGATGAACAGGTTGTTAGAGTCAACCTAGTGAATAACCTGCATTCTTAACATGTCTCTAATTCGAAAAGTTGTACAGTTTTTTTCATTTTTTTTAAACCTTTGTTTTTCTTTTTTTGTATTTGTCACAGTAATTTTTTGTTGCGTAAGTAACTTGTTGAAATACCTTGTGCTGAAAATTCTATATTGTACCAAAATATAATATTGAATAAAGCCATTAATAATAATAATAAGCGTCTGAGTCCCAAAATAGAACGAAACGGCCGTCCAATGCTTCCAGGTTCTCAACGGTAGTCTAATATCATTCGGTTTATGGTCTCAATTAGAAAGTTAATAATCTCCACAACCCCTATACTGATACTTACCATGTGCTCACTAGTGACTAGCTTCGTGAGGAAATTCTCGGAGTTCTAGTGAGATGTGATGATCAGTGGAGCTAATCCGTATCGGGGTAGAAACAGGTATCTACCTCAGTAAAATGGAAGATGGTCATACAATTTCTTAGATTGGTTGAGGTTAGACATTAACAATATTGGATACCGGCTTACTGGTCCAGTAGGTTAAGCATTCGAGTGAAGGCCCTGGGTTTGAATCCCACGAGGTGGGATCGTGAATGCGCACTGCTGAGAAGTCTCACAATAGGACAAAACGGCCATCTAGTGCTTCCAGGTTTTCAATGATAGTCTAACATCAATCCATTCATGATCTCAATTAAAAACATGTATATATAATATAATATACTTACCATGCCATGAAACATAAAATTTCCCTTTTTTTGTTTTAGTATATTCACATAATTTTGAAATAAGATTATCATAAGTAACACTTCGAACTGATCTTTTAAAATATAATTTAGTTATAATAAATTGTTCTACACAAATAAATGTAGGCAATGCAACATGGATTATAAGCATCATTAAATTAAATTACTGATAATAATAATAATAATAATATAATTTGATACACTATCGTTTTATTGTTTAATCCATTTGTAATATTCTAAAAAATTTATTGATTGTTTTGTATGTTACTAACTAATGTATGTATGTGTTGAGTTGCGTTGAATCTGTACATAATCATGACGTGTTTCCTTTTGATATCGAGATATATGTCAACAATCCAATCAGTAATTAAAACGTATTCAAGTATCCATTCATTTATAATTGCTTACTTTTTATACAATCAATTCATTGGTTCATTTATTTATTCTCATTTATAGGTTAACTTTAATAATAAAAATGTAATTTAATTATTGAGTATGAATGAACATTGATAATCTTTTAATTGACAAGTCTATTAAACAATTGTATTTTCTATATTCAATTTGTAATGATATAGACTTTCAAAAAAAAGAAATTAAAGATCTATTTAGGCGGTTTTTTTTCTTTCTACTGTTTCATACCATTGTATTGATTATAACAATCTCCACAACCCCTACACTGATATAAATTGGGAGTGAACAGTAATAGAATGTATATAGATATATCATGTATGTGTAATTGAGTAATTTCTATTATGTAAAAGCTTACAGTATGGTATTATTATTATTATTATTATTATTATTATTATTATTATCATGTATGTGTAATATTACCAAGAAAGAAGAACACGTGTAGTTTGTCTTAGTTACTTACAATGTATGTAATACGGTATAACTATTACTAGAAAAAATTGATCAAACTATTGATTATTATTTGAATTTAATTGATTTTTTTTTCGACATATTGAATTCTAATAATTTGAATAGTTTAGATCAATTATTCTTTGTATATATAAATATTGGGAATGATTTTAAATGAATATAGTGTTTATTACCTGTTGGGAAGCTTATTTTCTATTCAGTATTACTTAGTTTTTGATTGAGATCATGAATGAATTGATGTTAGACTATCACTGAAAACATGGAAGCAATGGATGGCCATTTCGTCATATTGTGGGATTCCTCAGAAGTGCTCTTTCGCGATCCCACCTCGCGGGATCCGAACCCAGGGTCTTCAATTTCACACACGAACGCTTAATCTATAGACCATTGGGTTGTCACCCAATAGTGTTAATGTCTAATCTCGACCAATCCACGCAGTGGCGTGACCATCTTCCATTGTACTGAGGTAGATACCTGTTTCTACTCGACACGGTTTAGTTCCACAGGTCACTGGTCGATAAAATACATAATAATCTTCACAAGCCTATACTTGGTTTACTGAAATATTTCAATGATTTGTTAAATAACTTATTGTATGGTTCTTGAACTTTTAATTAATTGTTCGCCTTTGGGAAAAGTTGTGCTGATCTCTTCTGATTATCGGATACCTGATGATGTTGTAGTCGGGGTTGAAATCAATTCAGGTATTATATATCTCTATTTTCTATATTTATCTTTATATTATTGGTACTGCTTGATTATTGTGTTTTTGATTATTTTGCTTGATGATTGTGTAACTTCAACTTTAATTTATACATGAGAACTTAGAAGACTTCTAGAAGTCTTGAAGTTTTGGAATTTACGTCTACGATTTTTTTGAAATGTTTCTAAGTCAGAGCTAGAACACTCTTTGGTTGAAGAAGGTACGGTCACACTCATTTGCAAAGGTGTTAACGAGGTGCTAGCTTTCGCTCACTGTTCAGATTACTTGTTCATAGCAGTTGTGAAAGTTATCTAAAGACCTGTTAATGAGTTTCACATTAATTTTTTACGAGTTTAAATTTGTGTACCGATCATCTTATTGTTTATTAATGACCTTCATGACCTACTATTGCCAGAAGACCTTTAGATTCGGCGGAAAATACTTGCTACCTGTGCCTTGAACTTTCAAGTAAACTTAATTTGGTGTATAAACTTGGACCAAAGTAATCTTCCCTTCTACTTGAAGAATCCCAATTATTAATATTGCTGTTATATCCAGCACGTATTTCCTGTGTGATTGAAATATTACACCTACTGTCGCGAAGAATTTAGACATCACTTTCTAGGATACTCTAGTTTTGGAGCTAGTTAAACATACACAGTTTTGATACTTCTTTCCAATTTATTAGTTAGTATGACGTTGAAGTCATTCAAAACCGTATTAAGCGCCAAATTATGGCTCACCTTAACAAAACTTTTGTTCTATTAACTATGGAAGGATACCATTCTCCTGGAATTAATTTAGAGAAATGCAAAAAAATGGTACGTAGACCAGAAGATTAAAGCAATTTGACTCACTTCAGTCCAGTGAGCGAACGACCTACACAATGCTGAAGGATTGTCAAGGATATAATTAAGATACTTCTGCTCGGCGAAGTTTCAACTTCAAAATCTTAAATATCTGTGTAAGGATTGAAAAAATATTTGAATTACGCCTATTCAGATGTGGAAACGACCGTATTCAATGTAAAAGCAATTAATAAGTTGCTAGCAGTTTGCTATATCTTTACAACGAAGTTTGAAGTTATTCCTTATCGTAATTATTATTTATGTTAGGATAGTCGGAAAAAGAGACCAATAATTATCATGTTAAGTTCAATGGTGTCCTTGAACCTTAAATGTACATTTCTTATTGGTCGATGTTTATTTCACTTGTTAAATATTTTGTAAATGTTGTTTCCTATTTTATGGTACGATGTGGTATGCTTGGTTGGTATATAAACAATGTTTGAAATATAATGATTCATAACTCCGAGGCTGTGACTTGTGTTCTTGACTCAACTGGCTGGGACAGACAGCGAAGCAGGGCCAATCAGGGCACTAGGTCGTCCATTACGTGTTTTACGTGTCCACTGTCACAGATCGCGATCGATAAATAAACGCTGCTTATCAAAAACCTGCAGTTACACCCGTTACAACAATTTAACTACTCAGATGTTTTCAATAACATGTGACCTTGGCCTACTGTTCGAGGTTTAATAGTTTTGGAGTCTCAGAGGTGACTTTTTAATGACTTATAGAACCCTAAACACTACTGAGTACCCACTCAAATACCTAACGTCAGCCCCAATCGGAACCTCAGGTGTGAAGCCCAGAAATTAGCGACACAACATAGCATAATGTACTATGGGAGCACCTTCTACTCTTTACGAGTAGCTCAATTGCTGAACTCTCTGCTGGGTGAAGTAGTTCAAGCGACTTCTCAGGAGTCCTTTAAGAGGAAACTCGACATATTCTTATGGGCTCAAGACAGTATTTCGCTATGATTCACTAATATTTCCTTTTTTGTCGTTAAATAAACCTAGGTTCCTACATGGAAGCATCAGTGATCCACTGCTACTAGAACCATTTGAACCATTTACGCCGAAGCTTCAAAATATCTACTTCAGAATGACTGCTTCCTAGGCAATTGTTTTTAGTTCTCCAACTGCCAAATGTATCGTGGTTAGTTTTAGTAATTTGTTCAACTCTACCTTTTTGTTTCTTCATGTTTACTAAAAGATTTCCTGTAACAAATTTCGAGCTAGGTTGGCTCTTCTTGCTAAGTGATGTATTGAAATTCCATGACAAAAATTTGAGTTATAAAATAAAAGTTTTTCACATCCTGCTAAACATGATTGTAGGGTCCGGTTCGTAGAATATTCGATAAGACTACAATTTATTGACGACCTTTGAATAACGAGAAAGTGGCCTTGAGAAAACGTATCTACTTACTAGGGTTGAAAGAGGGTTTTAGATTAGTACGAGGAATTAGGATTAAGATTGAAAGGTAGAAGTTAGGGTTTCCATCACATATTGACATCAGCTATCATATCAAAATGCCAAAAGATGAATATTAACTTGTTTAATTGTCATTACAAAACGATAATATTAAAAGAATTATCTAGCTTATTATTGCTGAGTTTAAAAATATTCCATTTCTGTCAAAGTATGGTATATGCACAAAAATATTTTAACAATGGATTATTGTACTCAGTGTTCTTGCTTGCTGTTAAGTGGGACTTTATTTTGTATGTGCTGGTGTCGAACAAGAATAGACAAAATGGGATACTAACTTGAACTTTAAGCATGGTTAGAGACTGGTTTAGCTGGTACGTTTTGCTGTATTTGTCATTATTCACTTAAACCTGAGTCTTACATGAAAGCAGTTGACAGAGAATGATCACCATTAATTAGCTTTCGACTGACACTTTTTTTTATTACATTTTTTCATACATGTGGTATTTTATAAGAACTTCCGTTAAAATTTGATTGAATAGTTTCACAGTATTCAGACATCGAGTTGATATGAGACACCAATGAAGAAGAATATATGTGTAAAATCTCAGCGAATGAATTTGAAGTAAATCGTTATTTATATTCGGTGATTTTGATGTTTGATTATAATTTCTTGAAATCTCCTGAACCAGATTACCAGGCGAAACGTTTGATTAACTTCAAATTCATCCGCTGAGATTTTACAAATACATTCCTCACCATTAATATGGTATTTTAGTTTCAAGTTTTCTATTTCTCATTGTATTCTCTCATTCTTACGTGCCGTAAAAGATATTAAATCATAACTACTGAGTTAGATGAAAAAAACTTGTCAACCAAAATCAAAATTACAATCTTCAATACGAACGGCCAGACAGTTCTACTGTACGGTGCGGAAACTTGGAGAACTACCACAGCCATCACCAAGAAAGTACAAGTATCTATAAACAGTTGCCTATAGTAAATACTCAATGTCCGTTGAATGGGTACCATTAGAAACAGCCTACTGTGAGAGAGAACAAACCAGTTTCCATCTGAACAGAAAATTAGGAAAAGATTATGAAAGTGGATAGAAAATATATTAATGAAACCATTAAACTGGATTACGGGGCAATCTCTAACTTGAACCAAAGAACACAATCCGTCAAGAATTGGAGGCAGACATTAATATAGTGAATAGCGATTGGAAAGAACTGGAAAGGAGAGTCCAGGATGGAGTCCTATGGAGAATGCTGGTGGGCGGCCTATGCTTCTCCACTAGGGATAACAGGTGCAAGTAATAAGATGAAAAAAATACAATTTCTGTTTATTATTTCAGTCTAATTAAGCATAATCTTACGTCATTTATTAGCGACATATTTGACTGCTCTTCCTTTCACAGGAGCTATATCTCGTTTTTATGAAGAGAAATTGCTCCGTTTTTTTAAATCCAAACTTATCTTACACTTCTCCTGCTCCATAATCAACCGACACTTTAGCAGATGTCATTCTGAGGCTCATGATTTGCAATTCTTCACATTTTAAATATTCACTGAGACTTATGAAAAAGAAAACCAGGGAACCATGATCTTGAAAATCAGCATTTTATTGAGATATAGATTGTACCGTTCCTTTCAATGGACACTGCTATGCTGAGAAATTGATAAACAAGGAGACTGTGGTGATATATGTGTGTTAACTAATGAAAACCGGTTCCATCAGTTTTAACTACTGCAAATCCCCACTGAAAAGGTTTGTTTGGGTGGTACAGTGCTGCTTTGATTCACA